TTTCCCTCATTAAAATGCAAATCAATTTATAACATTTTTGACATGCATTTTTCTGGATTTTGTTGTTGTTATTCTGTCTCTCACTGTTCAAATAAACCTACCATTAAAATTATAGACTGATCACGACTGATCCGTGTAAAGGAAATAATGAATGGGGCCATGTGTCGTAAGATTTTGAGTGAAAACCTCCTTCCATCAGCAAGGACATTGAAGATGAAACGTGGCTGGGTCTTTCAGCATGACAATGATCCCAAACACACCGTCCGGGCAACGAAGGAGTGGCTTCGTAAGAAGCATTTCAAGGTCCTGGAGTGGCCTAGCCAGTCTCCAGATCTCAACCCCATAGAAAATCTTTGGAGGGAGTTGAGAGTCCGTGTTGCCCAGCGACAGCCCCAAAACATCACTGCTCTAGAGGAGATCTGCATGGAGGAATGGGCCAAAATACCAGCAACAGTGTGTGAAAACCTTGTGAAGACTTACAGAAAACGTTTGACCTGTGTCGTTGCCAACAAAGGGTATATAACAAAGTATTGAGAAACTTTTGTTATGGACCAAATACTTATTTTCCACCATAATTTGTAAATAAATTCATTAAAAATCCTACAATGTGATTTTCTGGATTTTTTTCCCTCATTTTGTCTGTCATAGTTGATGTGTACCTATGATGAAAATTACAGGCCTCTCATCTTTTTAAGTGGGAGAACTTGCACAATTGGTGGCTGACTAAATACTTTTTTTCCCCACTGTGTATATATATATATATTGTAAAGTGGTTGTCCCACTGGCTATCATAAGGTGAATGCACCAATTTGTAAGTCGCTCTGGATAAGAGCATCTGCTAAATGACGAAAATGTAAATGTAATGTAAAATGTCATTGTTTTCTTTACCTCAAAAAGGAGTTAAACAAAGTCTGTTTTAGAATCCATTGAGGACGACAATAGTTCCACAATGTATTTGAAAAATATCTCCAGCTCTTTCCCTTTCAATAACCACTCGGCATGAAACTGAAAAATATAATCATCATAAAATACCTGATTACTTTTTATCCCTTGCACAAATAGCCTACAGCTGTGTCTGTCCCGAGCTCACTGGCGCAGGAAACTCTGAGGGCCCAGAATATTTTATACAATGTTGCAAGTTTGCTAGTGCAAGCTTCGGTCCGGACCCAGTTGATAGTTGATACAATGTTTGAAGTTCATTGCAGACAGGCCATGTGTAGCCAATATGATTTATAGGACATTTATTTTCATCAGGATATTTTCAACCTGCAGGCTGCAATGTTTTTATTTGTTGGCTTTACATAGACAATTTTTTACATAGTTGGCAATAGCTATACAAGTGACTTTTAGATTTGTATCATTTTCATTTAGATTTAGATAGAGTTTAGAACCACATGACAATGATTTTGAGATACAAAGAGTATTATTAATTAAATGAAACTGTTCCACAAAAATGTGCAAATGAAAACCATAAGTGGCACGCAGATCGGTAGAAATGGTAAGATAAATTGGCATTCCAAATGGAAAAGGTTGCCGACCCCTGGTGTAGCCTTTTACCGGCAACTTCAGGAGCGGAGTGGCAGAATCTGCGAAGGCCAGCGGGGCATTGGGAGGAGGTTCGGGAACAGGTTTTTTCTTCTGGTTAGGCTATCTTGATCTCTGGCTCCCTTTTGAGTAATTTGTGTGTCTTAATTAGTTAATCAAACATCGTGCTTAAAGCATCAGACAAGTTCAGAACATACAGTATAGTTGATTTTATTAAAAACACATTGGGTGTGTCTTTATATGGAAAAATACATGTTTTAAAATCTCCAACAATCCGAAAGAAAAGACCACTCTTGGTTTACCAATATTTTGTTTTTTGTCTGGGACAGCCCTAACATACAGTACCAGTCAAAAGTTTGGACACACCTACTCATTCAACAGTTTTTCTTTATTTTTTACTATTTTCTACATTGTAGAATAATAGTGAAGACATCAACACTATGAAATAACTCATTTGGAATCATGTAGTAACCAAAAAAGTGTTAAACAAATCAAAATATATTTTATATTTGAGATTCTTCAAAGTAGCCACCCTTTGCCTTGATGACAGCTTTGCACACTCTTGGCATTCTCTCAACCAGCTTCATGAGGTAGTCACCTGGAATGCATTTCAATTAACAGGTGTGCCTTGTTAAAAGTTAATTTGTGGAATTTCTTTCCTTCTTAATGCGTTTGAGCCAATCAGTTGAGTTGTGACAAGGTAGGGGGGGTATACAGAAGATAGCCCTATTTGGTAAAAGACCAAGTCCATATTATGGCAAGAACAGCTCAAATAAGCAAAGAGAAACAACAGTCCATCATTACTTTAAGACATGAATGTCAGTCAATCTGGAAAAATGTAAGAACATTGAAAGTTTATTCAAGTGCAGTCGCAAAAAACATCAAGCGCTATGATGACACTGGCTCTCATGAGGACCGCCACAGGAAAGGAAGACCCAGAGTTACACCTCTTCATACCCACCGTGATATTATGCATGATGATTTCATGTTTTCATGTCTGCCTATACAGTAGCATTTGCTTATTCAAAGTGGCTTTAATGAAAACAGGCCTTTCTATTTATATCCTTCCTGGCTTCTTTGTGCAATATAAAGTTTGCTCCTATTCTGGAGCAGAACCAGTCGACGAGCTGACCATGGCCCTGAACCAGTCGACGAGCTGACCATGGCCCTGAATTCACTGTTTTGCCTGTAGACCTAATGTAGATGGCTGCTTTGAGTGGGAGTGGTCGATCTGATCTGATAATATGTTGATTATTTCATGATGTTTGATTACTGTCAGATGGACTGAACACTTAATCCATTCTCCATATTTTGTGACAACAACCCCTTTTTATCACAGCACTTCTCTGCTGTAGAATCTCTCTCTCTCTCTGAATATATAGGTGATAGCCATATTTTGTATTTCATTATGTTTGTCTAGTGTAGAATCTCTCTCTCTCTCTCTCTCTCTCTCTCTGAATATGTACAGTACCAGTCAAAGGTTTGGACACACCTACTCATTCAACGTTTTTTCTTTATTTTTACTATTTTCTACATTGTAGAATAATAGTGAAGACATCAAAACTATGAAATAACACAAATGGAATCATGTAGTAACCAAAACAGTGTTAAACAAATCAGATTTTATATTTGAGATTCTTCAAATAGCCACCCTTTGCCTTCATGACAGCTTTGCACACGACAGTCCATCATTACTTTAAGACAATTACTTTGAAAGTTTATTCAAGTGCAGTCGCAAAAACCATCAAGCGCTATGATGAAACTGGCTCTCATGAGGACCGCAACAGGAATGGAAGACCCAGAGTTACCTCTGCTGCAGAGGATAAGTTCATTAGAGTTACCAGCGTCAGAAATTGCAGCCCAAATAAATGCTTCACAGAGTTCAAGTAACAGACACATCTCAACATCAACTGTTCAGAGGAGACTGTGTGAATCAGGCCTTCATGGTCGAATTGCTGCAAAGGAACCACTACTAAAGGACACCAACATGAATAAGAGACTTGCTTGGGCCAAGAAACACGAGCAATGGACAATTAGACTGTTGGAAATGTGTCCTTTGGTCTGATGAGTCCAAATTTGAGATTCTTGGTTCTAACCGCCGTGTCTTTGTGAGACGCGGTGTGAGTGAACGGATGATCTCCCGCATGTGTGGTTCCCACCGTAAAGCATGGAGGAGGAGGTGTGATTGTGCTTTGCTGGTGACACTGTCAGTGATTTATTTAGAATTCAAGGCACACTTAACCAGCATGGCTACCACAGCATTCTACAGCGATACGCCATCCCATCTGGTTTGGGCTTAGTGGGACTATCATTTGTTTTTCAACAGGACAATGACCCAACACACCTCCAGGCTGTGTAAGGGCTATTTGACCAAGAAGGAGAGTGATGGAGTGCTGCATCAGATGACCTGGCCTCCACAATCACCCGACCTCAACCCAATTGAGATGGCTTGGGATGAGTTGGACCGCAGAGTGAAGGAAAAGCAGCCAAGTGCTCAGCATATGTGGGAACTCCTTCAAGACTGTTGGACAAGCATTCCAGGTGAAGCTGGTTGAGAGAATGCCAAGAGTGTGCAAAGCTGTCATCAAGGCAAAGGGTGGCTATTTGAAGAATGTATGTGTTTTTTTTTGGATTTGTTTAACACTTTTTTGGTTACTATGTGATTCCATATGTGTTATTTCATAGTTTTGATGTCTTCACTATTATTCTACAATGTAGAAAATAGTAAAAATAAAGAAAAGCCCTTGAATGAGTAGGTGTGTCCAAACTATTGAAAGGTACTGTAGGTGATAGCCATGTTGTGTATTTCATTGTGTTTGTTGTCGGACAGTGGTCCTGTTTTGTCAGCGGTGTGGTTGTAAGCGGTTGTGTAGTTGAGCTGCCTACTTGTCAATAATAACAGGCATGTTTGCAAAGGGGAATTTGTGGTGTTTCTTGGTCACATTTATCCTGTCTCATGTGTTAAATGATGCAATGTGATTCCCTTAAATATGTCAGGGTATTTTTGCCACATGACAGTTTCTGCCTACGCCACTGAGGCCTTATATAATTGTCAACCATAAGGGCTTTTGAGGAAAAGAAGGTAAAATAGTAAAACAGAGTGAAAGAGGGTTGGGGGTCAGGGAACTGACCGGCAGAGGGAGGGAAACTGAAGGGGGTCGAGGGGTCAGGGGTCAGGGAACTGACCGGCAGAGGGAGGGAAACTGAAGGGGGTCGAGGGGTCAGGGGTCAGGGGTCAGGGAACTGACCGGCAGAGGGAGGGAAACTGAAGGGGGTCGAGGGGTCAGGGGTCAGGGAACTGACCAGCAGAGGGAGGGAAACTGAAGGGGGTCGAGGGGTCAGGGGTCAGGGGTCAGGGAACAGACCGGCAGAGGGAGGTAAACTGAAGGGGGTCGAGGGGTCAGGGGTCAGGGAACTGACCGGCAGAGGGAGGGAAACTGAAGGGGGTCGAGGGGTCAGGGGTCAGGGAACTGACCGGCAGAGGGAGGGAAACTGAAGGGGGTCGAGGGGTCAGGGGTCAGGGAACTGACCGGCAGAGGGAGGGAAACTGAAGGGGGTCGAGGGGTCAGGGGTCAGGGGTCAGGGAACTTACCGGCAGAGGGAGGGAAACTGAAGGGGGTCGAGGGGTCAGGGGTCAGGGAACTGACCGGCAGAGGGAGGGAAACTGAAGGGGGTCGAGGGGTCAGGGGTCAGGGAACTTACCGGCAGAGGGAGGGAAACTGAAGGCGGTCGAGGGGTCAGGGGTCAGGGAACTGACCGGCAGAGGGAGGGAAACTGAAGGGGGTCGAGGGGTCAGGGGTCAGGGAACTGACCAGCAGAGGAAGGGAAACTGAAGGGCGTCGAGGGGTCAGGGGTCAGGGGTCAGGGAACTTACCGGCAGAGGGAGGGAAACTGAAGGCGGTCGAGGGGTCAGGGGTCAGGGAACTGACCGGCAGAGGGAGGTAAACTGAAGGGGGTCGAGGGGTCAGGGGTCAGGGGTCAGGGAACTGACCGGCAGAGGGAGGGAAACTGAAGGGGGTCGAGGGGTCAGGGGTCAGGGGTCAGGGAACTTACCGGCAGAGGGAGGGAAACTGAAGGGGGTCGAGGGGTCAGGGGTCAGGGAACTGACCGGCAGAGGGAGGGAAACTGAAGGGGGTCGAGGGGTCAGGGGTCAGGGGTCAGGGAACTTACCGGCAGAGGGAGGGAAACTGAAGGCGGTCGAGGGGTCAGGGGTCAGGGGTCAGGGAACTTACCGGCAGAGGGAGGGAAACTGAAGGCGGTCGAGGGGTCAGCACTCTCACATTCTTTCTCTTCAGCTCCTCTGACAGGCTGAGAGGAACACAGTCTGCTGTGACATCATCACTTACAGGAGACACTTCCTTTCTCTGCCCGCCCCTCACACTCTTCCTCTTCAACCTTCCTCCTCCTCCTTCTCTGCCTCCTCCTGGGCAGAAACACAGACACATCACTACCCAACCTCTGACCTATAACCCCAACCTAAATGAAGTATTACAGATGATACCTGTGAAGGTACTAAGGGCTGTGTGTCTGCCAGCGGGGGAGGGGTTAAAAGGGTTGCTGCACCAATGAGACGTGTCAGTGTAGCCCAGAGCTGATTTCTCTATCCAATCCAACTGGAGGATCCATCTCTAACTAGAAGGCGGGCGCCCACGACCGCATGCACAGACGAGGGGTAGATTGATACTATAGATGTTGTTGCCCTTGGGGCAGTTACATGGTGAGGATGAGGAGGGTTAGAGGACAGTATTACATGGTGAGGATGAGTAGGGTTAGAGGAGGACAGTATTACATGGTGAGGATGAGTAGGGTTAGAGGAGGACAGTATTACATGGTGAGGATGAGTAGGGTTGGAGGAGGACAGTATTACATGGTGAGGATGAGTAGGGTTAGAGGAGGACAGTATTACATGGTGAGGATGAGGAGGGTTAGAGGAGGACAGTATTACATGGTGAGGATTAGGAGGGTTAGAGGAGGACAGTATTACATGGTGAGGATGAGGAGGGTTAGAGGAGGACAGTATTACATGGTGAGGATGAGGAGGGTTAGAGGAGGACAGTATTACATGGTGAGGATGAGTAGGGTTAGAGGAGGACAGTATCACAGATTCATTTCGACAGGAAATCCAAGCCCGAGAACTAGTGTACCCCCTTTAACCCTAACCCACCTGTCCTGTGTCCAATCCTCCAGGGAAGGTCTTCAGGGCTGGTGAAGGGGCAGACACTCACCCTGCTGCGGACGGCCTCCTTCAGTCTGCAGTTTGAGTCTTCTGTGGTGGACGAGGCTGCTGTTGCTGGCTTTGATACCCTGGACATACAACATTTACAAAGGAACAGGGTTAGGTCCTACACATGAAACATCTACCCAGCAACAGGGTTAGGGTTAGGGCCCTGGACATGAAACATCTACCCAGCAACAGGGTTAGGGTTAGGGCCCTGGACATGAAACATCTACCCAGCAACAGGGTTAGGGTTAGGGTCCTGGACATGAAACATCTACCCAGCAACAGGGTTAGGGTTAGGGCCCTGGACATGAAACATCTACCCAGCAACAGGGTTGGGGCCCTGGACATGAAACATCTAAACAGCAACAGGGCTAGGTCCCTGGACATGAAACATCTACCCTGGACATGAAACATCTACCCAACAACAGGGTTGAGGCCCTGGACATCAAATATCTACCCAGCAACAGGCCTAGGGCCCTGGACATGAAACATCTACCCAGCAACAGGGTTAGGGCACTGGACATGAAACATCTACCCAGCAACAGGGCTGGGGCCCTGGACATGAAACATCTACCCAGCAACAGGGCTGGGGCCCTGGACATGAAACATCTACCCAGCAACAGGGCTGGGGCCCTGGACATGAAACATCTACCCAGCAACAGCGTTAGGGCCCTGGACACGAAACATCTACCCTGGACATGAAACATCTACCCAGCAACAGTGTTAGGGCCCTGGACATGAAACATCTACCCAGCAACAGTGTTAGGGCCCTGGACATGAAACATCTACCCAGCAACAGGGTTAGGGCCCTGGACATGAAACATCTACCCAACAACAGGGTTAGGGCCCTGGACATGAAACATCTACCCAGCAACAGGGTTAGGGCCCTGGACATGAAACATCTACCCAGCAACAGGGTTAGGGCCCTGGACATGAAACATCTACCCAGCAACAGGGTTAGGGCCCTGGACATGAAACATCTACCCAGCAACAGGGTTAGGGCCCTGGACATGAAACATCTACCCAACAAAGGGGTTAGGGCCCTGGACATGAAACATCTACCCAGCAACAGGGTTAGGGCCCTGGACATGAAACATCTACCCAGTAACAGGGTTAGGGCCCTGGACATGAAACATCTACCCAGCAACAGGGCTGGGGCCCTGGACATGAAACATCTACCCAGCAACAGTGTTAGGGCCCTGGACATGAAACATCTACCCAGCAACAGTGTTAGGGCCCTGGACATGAAACATCTACCTAGCAACAGGGTTAGGGCCCTGGACACGAAACATCTACCCAGCAACAGGGCTAGGGCCCTGGACACGAAACATCTACCCTGGACATGAAACATCTACCCAGCAACAGTGTTAGGGCCCTGGACATGAAACATCTACACAGTAACAGGGTTGGGGCCCTGGACATGAAACATCTACCCAGCATCAGGGCTGGGGCCCTGGACATGAAACATCTACCCTGGACATGAAACGTCTACCCAGCAACAGTGTTAGGGCCCTGGACATGAAACATCTACCCAGAAACAGGGTTAGGGTCCTGGACATGAAACATCTACCCAGCAACAGGGCTGGGGCCCTGGACATGAAACATCTACCCAGCAACAGGGCTGGGGCCCTGGACATGAAACATCTACCCAGCAACAGGGCTGGGGCCCTGGACATGAAACATCTACCCAGCAACAGGGTTAGGGCCCTGGACATGAAACATCTACCCAGCAACAGGGTTAGGGCCCTGGACACGAAACATCTACCCTGGACATGAAACATCTACCCAGCAACAGTGTTAGGGCCCTGGACATGAAACATCTACCCAGCAACAGGGTTAGGGCCCTGGACATGAAACATCTACCCAGCAACAGGGTTAGGGCCCTGGACATGAAACATCTACCCTGGACATGAAACGTCTACCCAACAACAGGGTTAGGGCCCTGGACATGAAACATCTACCCAGCAACAGGGTTAGGGCCCTGGACATGAAACATCTACCCAGCAACAGGGTTAGGGCCCTGGACATGAAACATCTACCCAGCAACAGGGTTAGGGCCCTGGACATGAAACATCTACCCAGCAACAGGGTTGAGGCCCTGGACATGAAACATCTACCCAGCAACAGGGTTAGGGCCCTGGACATGAAACATCTACCCAGCAACAGGGTTGAGGCCCTGGACATGAAACATCTACCCAGCAACAGGGTTAGGGCCCTGGACATGAAACATCTACCCAGCAACAGGGTTAGGGCCCTGGACATGAAACATCTACCCAGCAACACAGTGAGACATCATACAGTATACATAATACAGCTAGTTATTCAACATTAACTTTAACCCTTACGTGGTATTGAAAAGCTAAAGAAGCCCATGTTTAGGGTGTAAACCCTACTCTCCTCCATTGGAATTCAGCAAGACATGCAGCATCAGCTAAACCGGGCAGATAAGACCATGAATATTATAAATCCATCATTAATGCTTTAATATAGACAACATGAATGTTATCATAGATGGGTGATGGGAGGAAACATGACACATCCTGGACTAATTCTACATTCGTTTCCTCCTACCCTAACCCAAGACACCTCCTACCCTAACCCAAGACACCTCCTACCCTAACCCAATAGTTTATTAGGACTAAAACATCTCCTACCCTAACCCAATACACCTCCTACCCTAACCCAATAGTTTATTAGGACTAAAACATCTCCTACCCTAACCCAAGACATCTCCTACCATAACCCAATAGACACCACCTACCCTAACCCAATGGTTTATTAGTACTAAAACACCTCCTACCCTAACCCAATAGTTTATTAGTACTAAAACACCTCCTACCCTAACCCAATAGTTTATTAGTACTAAAACACCTCCTACCCTAACCCAATAGTTTATTAGTACTAAAACACCTCCTACCCTAACCCAATAGTTTATTAGGACTAAAACACCTCCTACCCTAACCCAATAGTTTATTAGGACTAAAATACCTCCTACCCTAACCCAATAGTTTATTAGGACTAAAACACCTCCTACCCTAACCCAATAGTTTATTAGTACTAAAACACCTCCTACCCTAACCCAATAGTTTATTAGTACTAAAACACCTCCTACCCTAACCCAATAGTTTATTAGGACTAAAACACCTCCTACCCTAACCCAATAGTTTATTAGGACTAAAACACCTCCTACCCTAACCCAATAGTTTATTAGGACTAATTCTACAATTCTACCGTAATTTGTTTTGCAGAAGCTCTTGCTCCTCGTTGATGTCAGTGGTGGTCTTGTGTTTGGAGATGGGGGTCCTGCGAGCACTGGGGAACTCAAAGTCCCAGTCACAATTGACAGTCAGAGGCAGGTCTGGCTTCCTGAAGGAGGCACAGCTGCCTCGGGGGGCATGGCTCAGCAGACGACTCTTCTGAAGAAGGAAACAGGTTCATAACTTACCTTAACCCACAATTTACTTCTAGGTGCATAGAGGGTGAACATCTAAAGTGTAGCTATGTTCTATTTGGGGTTGATATACATTAAACATGTTGTGGAGCATGTACTGTGTGTTTCTTCTGAAATGATAACAATATTATATTACTAACCGTAATCTTATATTAAATATATTTATACTGTTGACTAAGAGAGAATTTTAACTAGCATTTTATGGTCCCCTGTAGCTCAGTTGGTAGAGCATGGCGCTTGCAACGGCAGGGTTGTGGGTTCGTTTCCCACGGGGGGCCAGTATGGAAAATGTATGCACTCACTACCTGTAAGTCGCTCTGGATAAGAGCGTCTGCTAAATGACTAAAATGTAAAAGTACATTTTAGATTAGTTGAAATAGCTAAAACCTTCATTGATGGAACAAACCAACCTCCTGTAATACCAGTGAATAAATCAAACTCTTCTATTGAAATCAGAATAAGAAGTAAATAACGTTAGCTAGCGAAGTAAAGGTCAGGGCTAAGTTAGTCAACTACTTGCCCTTGCATGCCTATCCAGGACTTTCTTGGAGTGGTTGTCCAAGACATTAAATGAGGCAAGAAGTCTGGTTGTCATCTTTCAACACTGAAATTACATAATAAATACATTAGCAACATAGTTATATATACTGTTAGTTGAGCTAACGTTACTTAACTATAGAGACCTAACGTTAGTGGCAGCTAACGTTAGCTAGACGGAGTTGGACACATCTTAAATACCTAGCTAGCTAACGACACTGGTAGCCTGCTAACAACTTCGGTTCCATCTTCCACACAGCTTTGACAGAATATTTCCTCTCAGTTAGCAAGCTAGTTAGCAAGCTAGCTACCATCAGCTGTCTTTCCAGCTCACCAGACAAACAACAACTAACCAAATGAATGCATGCGTCGTGCCAGTTACCATAGCAACACACCAAAAGGAGCAAAGACAAACAGGGGAGACAGAAACAAGCAGTGTATTGGTAGAACAGCGCCCTCCTGTGGTTCAGTATAACTTCACAGCAACGTTTCAGCGCTATGGAGTAATGGAACGCCGTTTGGGTCTTGCGTGTCAAAAAATATACTACTATACTGAACAAAAATATAAACGCAACATGTAAAGTGATGGTCCCATTTTTCATGAGCTGAAATAAAAGATCCCAGAAATGTTCCATACGCACAAAAAGCTTATTTCTCTCAAATGTTGTGCACACATTTGTTTACATCCCAGTTAGTGAGCATTTCTCCTTTGCCAAGATAATCCATCCACCTGACAGGTGTGGCATATCAAGAAATTGAAAAAAGCATGATCATTACACAGGTGCAGCTTGTGCTGGGTACAATAAAGGCCACTCTAAAATGTGCAGTTTGGTCACACAACACAATGACACAGATGTCTTAAGTTTTCAGAGAGCATGCAATTGGCATGCTGACTGCAGGAATGTTCACCAGAGCTGTTGGCAGAGAATGTCATGTTCATTTCTCTACCATAAGCCTCCTCCAACATCGTTTTAGAGAATTTGGCAGTACGTCCAACCGGTCTCACAACCGCAGACAACGTGTAACCACCCCATCCCAGGACCTCCACATCGGGCTTCTTCACCTGCGGGATCGTCTGAGACCAGCCACCCAGACAGCTGATGAAACAGGAGTATTTCTGTCTGTAATAAAGCCCTTTTGTGGGGAAAAACTCATTCTGATTGGCTGGGCCTGGCTCCCAAGTTGGTGGGCCTATGCCCTCCCAGGCCCAACCATGGCTGTGCCCCTGCCCAGTCATGTGAAATCCATAGATTAGGGCCTAAATAATTTATTTCAATTGACAGATTTCCTTATATGAATTGTAACTCAGTAAAATCGTTACAATTGTTGCATTTATGTTTTTGTTAAGTATAGAACAATTAGACCCCCTATAACCTACACACTGGTGTATCAATCTGATTGATGGATTGTGTTGTGCAGTAAGCAGGCTCTGGTGTATAACTGTGTCTCCTTCCACCTTCAGAGAATAGGCAAGAGGACCAACCATGGAGAATAGTAAGACACTCCATTATTTCAATTTACACTATATGTACAAAAGTATGAGGACACCACTTAAAATCAGTGGATTCAGCTATTTCAGCCACACTCGTTGCTGACAGGTGTATAAAATCGAGCACACAGCCATGCAATCTCCATTATCGACCATTGGCAGTAGAATGGCCTTACTGAAGAGCTCAGTGACTTTCAACGTGGCACCGTCATAGGATGCCACCTTTCCAACAAGTCAGTTCATCACATTTCTGCCCTGCTAGAGATGCCCCGGTCAACTGTAAGTGCTGTTGTTGTGAAGTGGAAACGTCTAGGAGCAACAACGGCTCAGCCGCGAAGTGGTAGGCCACACAAGCTCACAGAACGGGACCGCCGAGTGCTGAAGCGCGTAGCGTGTAAAAATCGTCTGTCCTCGGTTGCAACACTCACTACAGAGTTCCAAACTGCCTCTGGAAGCAACGTCAGCACAATAACTGCTCGACGGGTGCTTCATGAAATAGGTTTCCTTGGCCGACCAGCTGCACACAAGCCTAAGATCACCATGCGCAATGCCAAGCATCGGCTGGAGTGGTGTAAAGCTCGCCGCCATTGGACTCTGGAGCAGTGGAAACTCGTTCTCTGGTGTGATGAATCACGCTTCACCATCTGGCAGTCCGACAGATGAATCTGGGTTTGGCGGATGCCAGGAGAACGTTACCTGCCCCAATGCATAGCACCAACTGTAAAGTTTGGTGGAGGAGTTATAATGGTCTGGGGCTGTTTTTCATGGTTCGGGCTAGGCCCCTTAGTTCCAGTGAAGGGAAATCTTAACGCTACAGCATACAATGACATTCTAGACGATTCTGTGCTTCCAACTTTGTGGCAACAGTTTGGGGAAGGCCCTTTCCTGTTTCAGCATGGCAATGTCCCCGTGCACAAGGCGAGATCCATACAGAAATAATTTGTCGAGATCGGTGTGTAAGAACTTGACTGGCCTGCACAGCGCCCTGACCTCAACCCCATCAAACACCTTTGGGATGAATTGGAACGCCGACTGCGAGCCAGGCCTAATCGCCCAACATCAGTGCCCGACCTCACTAATGCTCTTGTGGCTGACTGGAAGCAAGTCCCCACAGCAATGTTCCAACATCTAGTGGAAAGCCTTCCCAGAAGAGTGGAGGCTGTTATAGCAGCAAAGGGGGGACCAACTCCATATTAATGCCCATGATTTTGGAATGAGATGTTCGACGAGGTGTCCACATACTGTTGGTCATGTAGTGTATGTAACTATGCTATGTTTGTCCTCGTGTGTCTGTGCATGTTTTTCAGTATAAAGGACTCTGCAGCCACTCAGTGGACACCAGGTGAGGCCACACACACAGATTCCTGTTGAACGTTGTCTCTTTAAGTACCTTATTTTCTAAATAACAGTCTCTCTCCTTCACTTCATCCCTCTCCCCCTTCTCTATAAATCCTCTAGGTTATATCAGCTGTGTTAGTGGACCCCTCCCCTTCTCCCTAAATCCTCTAGGTTATATCAGCTGTGTTAGTGGACCCCTCCCCTTCTCTCTAAATCCTCTAGGTTATATCAGCTGTGTTAGTGGACCCCTCCCCTTCTCTATAAATCCTCTAGGTTATATCAGCTGTGTTAGTGGACCCCTCCCCTTCTCTATACAGCCTCTAGGTTATATCAGCTGTGTTAGTGGACCCCTCCCCTTCTCTATAAATCCTCTAGGTTATATCAGCTGTGTTAGTGGACCCCTCCCCTTCTCCCTAAATCCTCTAGGTTATATCAGCTGTGTTAGTGGACCCCTCCCCTTCTCCCTAAATCCTCTAGGTTATATCAGCTGTGTTAGTGGACCCCTCCCCTTCTCTATAAATCCTCTAGGTTATATCAGCTGTGTTAGTGGACTCCCCCCCCTTCTCCCTAAATCCTATAGGTTATATCAGCTGTGTTAGTGAACCCCTCCCCTTCTCCCTAAATCCTCTAGGTTATATCAGCTGTGTTAGAGGACCCCTCCCCTTCTCTCTAAATCCTCTAGGTTATATCAGCTGTGTTAGTGGACCCCTCCCCTTCTCTATAAATCCTCTAGGTTATATCAGCTGTGTTAGAGAATCCCTCCCCTTCTCTATAAATCCTCTTGGTTATATCAGCTGTGTTAGTGGACCCCTCCCCTTCTCTATAAATCCTCTAGGTTATATCAGCTGTTAGTGAACCCCTCCCCTTCTCTATAAATCCTCTAGGTTATATCAGCTGTGTTAGTGGACTCCTCCCCTTCTCCCTAAATCCTCTAGGTTATATCAGCTGTGTTAGTGAACCCCTCCCCTTCTCCCTAAATCCTCTAGGTTATATCAGCTGTGTTAGTGAACCCCTCACCTTCTCTATAAATCCTCTAGGTTATATCAGCTGTGTTAGTGGACCCCTCCCCTTCTCCCTAAATCCTCTAGGTTATATCAGCTGGTTAGTGGACCCCTCCCTTCTCCCTAAATCCTCTAGGTTATTCAGCTGTGTTAGTGAACCCCTCCCCTTCTCTATAAATCCTCAGGTTATATCAGCTGTGTTAGTGGACCTCTCCCTTCTCTATAAAACCCTAGGGTTTATATCAGCTGTGTTTTGTGGACCCCCCC